GAAGTATTGCAATTTTCGGACCAAAAATTCTCGACGTGCGTGGCACTTTCGTTCCAGCGAAAGAGAGGTTAACCTCTTGCGCTGGCAACTGGTTCACGGACCATAACGAGTGACCAAACCGTATACAATACTTCACCGCTTTCTGTTTGAATTCGTCGGTATGATATCGTTGGATAGAAATTATTACTAAGAAGTAATCAATTAATTTTTTATTAATTGTTTCGCCCGGGTTATATTTAAATATATTTAAAACTGAGGAAGTATTGCAATTTTGGGATCAAAAATTTTCGACATGCGTGGCACGTCGCTCCAGCGGAAGAGGTTAACCTCTTGCGCTGGCAACTGGTTCACGGACCATAACGAGTGACCAAACTGTGTACAATAATTCGCCGCTTTCTGTTTGAATTCGTCGGTATGATATCACTGAATAGAAATTATTACTAACAAGTAATAAATTAATTTTTTATTAATTGTTTCGCCCGGGTTATATTTAAATATATTTAAAAAACTGAGGAAATATTGCAATTCTGGGATCAAAAATTTTCAATGTGCGTGGCACGTCGCTCCAGCGGAAGAGGTTAAGGGCCAGGAGAAAAAGGAGACCGCGTTCGCAGCGGTTGGAAATGAGGCGAGGAATCAAAAGGCAGAAGGGGGTGAGCCACGGTGAAGAAACGTGGTGGGGATCATTTGGATCCTCGCTCGGATCCGTGCCGTGATCCATGGATCAGTCTTGGTGCAACAGTCCCTTCGAACTGGTTGCCGTCGTCGCGGTTTGTCGCCTCGTTTTTCGACGGTTCGGTGCCGATCGTCCCGCTCATCTCCATCTTTCGCGAACGAAACGGGCGCGAGCTGATTTTTATTCGTGTTCGTTGTTTTCGCTTCGCTGGCAAATACCGCGTTCGTTTTGGTGTTGTTGCTGCTGCTGCTGCTGTTGTTGTTGTTGTTGTTGTTGTAAATGCTACGTCACACGACGAAGTTTTCAGTTGGTGAAACAACTGGTTGATCGAGAGTGATGCGTGTAGCGTCCATTATTGTCCGTTATTTTTAATCGTGCAGAAGAAACCCGCATTGCATCGAAACATTGAACTTGATCAGTTCCGTGCGACCATGTTTTTTGATTTGGAGGCCTGAATCGTGGAAACGTGAATCAATTGATATATCTGTGACCAACGAAAGTGTTTCTGGCAGTCCATTTCCCACGAAGTGATTAATTTTATATGAGCAGTTACGACTCTGAATGCAAGGTTCACTCCAATCTTTTCGATTTTCATCAGATGTTTCGAATGTAGATTTTTTTTTGTCACTTTTCGAAATTCGAACATCATCGGATTGGTCCGAGATTAGGATCGAGAAGAAAGCACTTGGAGTTCGAGTTTTACTAATTTTTCATCGCTGGAGGGATGCTCGTGTACAGGCGTTGTTTCGCTTGTCATTTCGAAGGATATACGGTGACACTGATGTCGCAACGAACGTGCTCGATAGAGTGATATCAATGCCCGCGTGAGGAAGTTGCGGCGATCGATTCGTCAGTTACTTTATTTAAACGGACTTCTGTACACGTATCGTCATCTTGACTCGTGTCACGAGTATTTCTCACATAACGTAACATGTGTAACGAAACATATATATTGAAAATATTCGATCGGTTGTTTCGAGCATTTCCGAGAATCATTAATTAAAATTAATTTGAAAATTCTCCAATTCGCTATTGCATTATATTTTTCTTAAAAAAAAAAAAACTTTTTCGTTAAAATATTTGTTATCGTACATGAAGAAAAGTGGTGTATCCGTATGTGAAGAATAAAATTATCGTTTCTTTCCTTTTGTGTGCCTGTGAAATTTCCGTATTTTGAAAACGGTGTCTGTGACGGCGAAGAGTGAAAACGCAGTCGGTACAATTGTCGAGTGTGAAATAATTGTTTTTACCCTCCGGGTGGTTAGAATGGTTTTATCGACGAGTGATTAGTGATGTGTCTATAATTGACGCAGTTTATTGATGATATGGTGTGAAACACGTGATCGCGTTTGGATTACGAGTATCTGGAAATTCACTTTCGACGAATCATGCATGGCTGGTGAGTAAATTAACATTTCACTCAGATTCTACGTAAACGAAATATATATGAATAGTATATAAAGGACATATGTTTTCATTGTTAGGTTTTAATTTAATGCTAGGTCTTTTTAAATGAAAGAAACTGGATTTGGTAGAAGGTAGTTCCATTATTTACAGAAATAATTTCTAAAAGTTTGGTAAATAAATTCCCATTGTTTATAGAGATAATTTCAAATAGAATGATCTTAGTATTGAAATAAAAATAAATTTACATTATAACACGACATATCATATAATTTTATTATCTATAATATGAACGTATTATATAATTTTATTATTACATGTTATTGAAAATATTTATTTATCATTGTTTACATTTTATAACACGTCTCATTATTTGTATTATGGTTATTAACAATTATAGGGCAACTTTGAAAGATTGATTTCAGACTCTAAAATACAAAAAAATCCTAGCTAGAAAGTATTTGCATATCGTTGTATTTATTACAGCATAAGTTTTGAATTATTGCAATATATAAATTATCTGTCTGAAACGCGTAACAATTTTGCTCTTATATACACGCTGATGAACATAATCTCTATTCCTGCACGCACGGTCGGTTAAAAATAGGGGTGGGAAAGATCCAGCACGGTCCGGTTGTTTTCCAAATCGTTTTACCCTCGTTTTGCCTGTACATAATAATTGAACGAAATTTCAAGCGCCCGTTTCGCGGTAACATCAACGAAACAGACGGCGTCGTTTCGTGGAACTCGCGAGTTTAACGTTCACGTTCATGTTGAAAAGGAATGACGGAGCTGCGGAACGTGCACGCACGTTCTGCGTACGCATAAAAGTCGGCACGCGCATATATTTATTGTGTTCTTTATTCAGTATGCAGTCCGGGGGACTGCGTGGAACAGGTAATAACGCGTCTGTTGTTGGCCACGCAACAATGGTTAACGAAACTTAAACTCTACCCGACGATCTGTAAGCTCGTTGTGTTTAGGGCTTGTGCCATTTATAATTTTAGGACTAGTGCCATTCATAATTTTAGGGCTAGTGCCATTTATAGTTTTAGGACTAGTGCCATTTATAATTTTAAGACTAGTGCCATTTATAATTTTAGGGCTAGTGCCATTTATAGTTTTAGGGCTAGTGCCATTTATAATTTTAGGGCTAGTGCCATTTATAATTTTAGGACTAGTGCCATTTATAGTTTTAGGACTAGTGCCATTTATAATTTTAGGACTAGTGCCATTTATAATTTTAGGGCTAGTGCCATTTATAGTTTTAGGACTAGTGCCATTTATAATTTTAAGACTAGTGCCATTTATAATTTTAGGGCTAGTGCCATTTATAATTTTAGGACTAGTGCCATTTATAGTTTTAGGACTAGTGCCATTTATAATTTTAGGACTAGTGCCATTTATAATTTTAGGGCTAGTGCCATTTATAATTTTAGGACTAGTACCATTTATAATTTTAGGACTAGTGCCATTCATAATATTAGGATTAATACCATTCATAATTTTAGGACTAGTGCCATTCATAATTTTAGGGCTAGTGCCATTTATAGTTTTAGGACTAGTGCCATTTATAATTTTAAGACTAGTGCCATTTATAATTTTAGGGCTAGTGCCATTTATAATTTTAGGACTAGTGCCATTTATAATTTTAGGACTAGTGACTAGTTTTTCAAAGATACAGGGCAACGTAAAAAAACGCTTGTTTTTGTTTCTGCAAACGATTTTATCATTTGCAAATGTTGAAAATTCTTTCTGAAAGAAAAAAAAAAAAAGAAAAAAGAAAGAATGATAGAACGTATGAAAAGAGAGAGAGACAGAGAGAGAGAAAAAAAGTAGATACAATATCCTGCGAATCCTTACCGTTGGTGAGAAACGTGAACCATGTGTATGTAAGTATAGCAGGAAATACTGTGGAAAGATAGTGAGCACCTGCCCGCGGTAAGCTCGTCGATGCATAATATAAATGCAATAATTCCGTGTAGGACAGCGACGAAGCTTTAACTGAGGCGGAAAATACGAATGGTTAGTCGGCGGGCCGGTGTTCGTTCGTTTGAAAACTGTGTTCAGGAGTAACGAAACATTTTTCCACGGTGGGATGTCTAACTTATAAAACGTATCCGAACGATAATAAATGCATAAATATCGATAGTAAAATTAATTGAGCTCTGTTGGCTGTGATGATATCGCGTACCGGTTTTCCAGGAATGTAACGTGGTTCATTCATGTTTTATATCGTACGTGAATACATTACGGTGTTGTTTGCGCGTTATTTGTACCGATTCAATAGCGGATCAGCCGTGGATAAAACGTCGCAGCCTTCTACCTTTCTTTTCCATTAATGTCTGGAAAAAAAAAATATATATATATATATATATATTCGGCTGTTTTTATTATCTTACATTTTACTATTTTATATATATATTTTTTTCCAGAATGTATGTGTATATATATATATATATATATAGCCGAATATAATATATATATAATAAAACTAATTATTAATATATACATATTATTTTTCGACCGACGGGTGGGAATTGTTCACGCGAAGGTTTAAGCGCTACATAGTTCTTTCTCGACGACGATCAGAACTTTGACGTGCCACATGTAACGGAGTTAATTAAGCGTTGCTGATGACTCAATTTCCAAGTTGATCGGCCAACTCGATTCGAGCGCGTTGTGGGGACAGACCGTAAAAGATTCCAGTGAAGTGTGATTCCTCGAACGAAAACTTCACGTCATTAACGGCGCCCTTTTTACACGCACAAGTAAAAGATGCGTCATTAAAAGTCTGTCCGAGTTCTGGGACCAAAACCTTACAAATACGATTTCATTGACACAGTCTGTCGAATAGTTCTCTATTTCATTACAAACGTTAATTTCAACCGCCTAATTTGAACCGTTCAGTTTGAACCGTCCAATTGGAACCGTTCAATTTGAATTGTCCAATTGGAACCGCCCAATTTGAACTGTCCAATTTGAACCGCCCAATCTGAACCGTCCACTTTGAACTGTCCAATTGAAACCGCCTAGTTTGAACCGCCCAGTTTGAACTGTCCAATTGGAACCGTCCAATTTGAATTGTCCAATTGGAACCGCCTGGCTTGAACCGCCCAATTTGAACTGTCCAATTGGAACCGCCTAGTTTGAACCGCCCACTTTGAATATTTCCGTTGTTTTTAAAGATGTGAAGAAATTTTCGTTGACAAAAATCATTTGGTGCAGAGGGGACCATAATACGACAGCAATAGTTTTTTTTGTAGAAAGGTTTTTTTCAAAGTGACTTCCATTTCTTTTAAGTGGAACAATAACTATCTTTTTCTCCATTAATTGATCAATAGTTGGACATTTATTTATATAAAAAGTATCTACGATAAACACTATTAGTTTAGGAGATTCAATGCGTCCACGTTAAAATATAGATAATTATATCAACCAATGCCCCTATTTTTTTGATATAATTAGGTTCGAATATATGACAATACACAACCGAATGTAATTTATATGTAATTTGATTATATAGATTAATTTGTACGATCAAGTTAAAAAATTCGAAAATCAAGCAATGTTAAAACCGAAATTTTTATTTTCGTTCCAACTGTCCGATGATGCAATTACAACGCAATATTAACTTCCGA